GTATAACCCTAAAGGGAGAGAGGGCAGACTCACTTAGGCGTATAACCCTAACGTATTTGCGATTCTGGTCGTATGACCGGGCTAGACCAGCCCCAACTCTCCTGCCTGTCAAAGGTGAAACACTAATTTGTACTTGTATTCATATATCTTAAAATTCAGGGTCTATACAAATCAGACTTCACTGTTCTATATAAAAATACAGGAGACTATTAGTTGTGTAAATGGATAAACAGTAGACTCCGAAACAGAGGATGGTGGTTCAAACCCACACAGAAGCACCTTGGAAGACAGGACTTCTGATAGTAACACCCTTGAAACCTGTGGAACTGTTCTGGTCTCACATGTCTGGTTACCATGAGCTGGAATCCACTGGTCAGAACTTCACAATAACACAACCCAAATACTAGCCATCAGGATCTCGTGGGCTGCATTTGGAAACATAAGAAATCATAAAACCTAAAAGATAAGACAGACATTTGGATAAGACAAGTATCCTAATGTCTATTTAAGGACTCACTTAACAAATTCATGTAAAAGTCCAGAAAAATAGAAAGTCTGTTCATCAATCCAATCTTGACTGATCTCACTATGAAACTGTAGTATAATATTGTGGCTACTTAGTTCCAAAGCAGTCTCCTTACCCTGGCCATGAAGTGACAAGGTGGGCTCCTCGTCCCCACAGCTCTTCCCAGAAGATTTCAACACACGGAATATTGTAAACAGCCACAGGTGACTGACTGTTTCCTATCTGAAGTCTGCTCTTTTAATAGCATCATAAAGAACCTACAAAACTCTTCAAAGAGATTCCAGCATTCAACCAGAGGACCTACTGCACAGTGTTTAAAAATATCTTGTTCCGTTTTTATGCAGTAAGATTCTGTACAAGCTAAGGGAGAGACAGAAAACCGGTGTCTCATCCACGCGACACTCTCCACAGTGTTAGCCTTCGACCATCAGCCTGTGGCAGTCCTCACCCATGAACCAAGCCCCTGACCCTGGGCCCATCCACTCAACACTGGACCCCTGACCCTGATCCTGGGCCCATCCACTCAACACTGGGCCCCTGACCCTAACCCTGGGCTCATCCACTCAACACTGGACCCCTGGCCCTGACACTGACCCCGACCCTGGGCCCATCCACTCAACACTGGACCCCTGACCCTGACCCTGGGCCCATCCACTCAATACTGGACCCCTGACTCCGACCCTAGGACCATCTGCTCATTGCTGGGCCCTGGGCCTGTGACCCTGACCCTGATCCTGTGCCCATCCACTCAACACTGGACCCCTAACTCTGACCCTAGGACCATCTGCTCATCACTGGGCCCTGGGCCCATCTGCCCATCACCAAGCCCTTGATCCTGGGCCCTGGGCCCAACTGCCCATTTCCAGGTGCCTCCATGGTAAAGGTGAAGTCAGACTGGCCCTTTGCCACTGCACCCTGAGAAGGGTCCTCCCCAGTCCCAACAGTTCCAGCTCCCACACATCCAGAAGAGGCATCAGCCCCAATCTGCTTCTGCGGAACTGAACTGCACACCCAGAATCTGTGCCTCTCGTCTCATCCAAGCTGGTTACGGAGCGGTGCATTACCAGCCACACCTACTCCAATGAGCCTAAACGTAGATGAAGCCTGGAAGAAGGTACTGACAGGAAAGATGGGGAAATCTGTCATCTCATAAGACTTCGCTTAGTGAAGCATGTGTGCAGCATTACACAGACTTTATGAAGCACCCTAAGACTCCTACTTGGAAGCCAGTCCAAATATATGGGAAATCACATTTACCCACACGCTGTGATGCTCTTTGGACATTGTTGTTGTTAAGTACCGAGTCGGGTCCGACTCATAACGACCCTGCCCAGGGTTTCCAAGGAGCAGCAGAGCTTGAAGTGCCGGTTCAAACTGGTCTTGTGGTCAAGTGCTTCTCCTATGGGCCTGCACCAGGACTCTCATCCATGGGCAGCAGCGGACAGTGAGGCGGACACTGCCCAGCCTTCACCCCATTCAATGGCACGTCTGTACTCAGCACCCCAGCTCCACCCCAACCAGCCAATCTAATCTACAGCCACAATACAGGACCAAGGAGAGCTGTGCTCTGGGGTTTCTGAGACCGAATCGTCACAGAAGCAGCCTGCCTCATCTTTCCTCTACAGAGCTGACCTTGCTTAACACACCGCAGCACCAGGGGTCCCTCCAGCTGCAAGCAGGCTATCAATTCACTCAGGCTGCTCCATTTGCTACTAACTCCTCTGTGTGACTGTTGTTCACTCCAAGTATGATTCTGCTTCGAAATATCCAAACCACCATCAAACTCCAAGTGAGAATGTAAAGTCTCAGAACAGATCCAGAGCCTCATCAGACACAAAAGCAAAAAAGTAAAATGAAATGACATCCAATCCGATACTACTGTATCTTCTAAGGTCAAACATCAGGGCTTGGAATGATTTAACAATCATGAAAGAGTTATTGTCTGGTGAGCACACAGTGATAAGAAGGGTTTGGACTTAGATGGAGGATGTGTTGAGAAACAATAGCTTCAGATTTTGATATTTTTGCTTAATAAAGGTTTCTATGATGTTATAACAATAAAAAAGAAAAATGATTGCATTGGTGTGGAGCTGTAGGATAAGCACTGGACCACTAACCCACCAGCCACTCCTCAGAAACCTACACAGGGTCTCTAGGAGTCGGAAAACAACTCCACGACCCTGAAGACCAACAACAAACTGAAACACCGGCTAATTTTATGAACGACGTGCACGGCATGGAAAAGTGACTCACTTTGTTCTGACAAATCTGATGAACCAGACGGGAATGGGCATCCGGGATCCGGGCCACACTGCAGCCCACGTTGAGGTCAAAAATTTCTAACGTCCTGTTTCGGTCTGCCGTCAGCACAGTATCTGAGGTGTTGGGTGAAGGGACCTTGCTTGGTAATCTGACCCAGGGAAACGCAGTTTGGGACTGAAAGGATACAGGAATAAAAGTCATTCACTGCTGACAAGCTGGTGATCTCCAGCTTCTCGGTCGTGAAGAGTCTGTGAGCTGGCTGGAACTTGCTCTTCTGTTGATATCTGGGAAAATACAAAGAAAAAGGGTCAATTTGATGGCAACGCTTCTGCGACAGCTAAAGAACCCTGCCTTCTTTGCCCAGAGGTGTACAGAGCTTTCTTAGACATATATTGGGTTCACACATCTGGGGAGGAGCCACAATTGGAGTCTTCCTTAAGACACTCACGTTGTCCTATAAAACAGCCAAAAAAATCTACTTATGAGAACACAAATTATCCCTCCTAAATTCTAGAATAATTACACGTACTTAAGGAGGCAGTCAACTGCCTAGCATTTACTCCATTGAAAACTATCCTCTCAGTGTCTGCTAAGGGCAACACAGGTCATCAAGGTTGGCTTAGAGAACATGTGGTCTCAACAATCCCTGCTGTTGACCTGGGTCAGCTGAGTGTGCACTGTAGTGAACAGAGATGGACTGTGTGTACACTGAGGCCAGGGTGTATGCACTATAATGAACAGAGACGGGGTGTGTGTACACTGAGGTAAGGGTGTATGCACTATAATGAACAGAGACGGGGTGTGTGTACACTGAGGTCAGGGTGTATGCACTGTAATGAACAGAGACGGGCTCTGTGTACTGAAGAGATGATGTATCAAGGAGAGGTACTGGAAGTGCAGGAATAATACAGACATTAAGAAGACTCAGAGGCTTTAGCGCCTGGGAGGATGCAGTCGCCCAGGACAGAAGAAGTGAGACACCTCAGGTAGGTTGCAAGGTGCTAGGCGAACCCCACTTGCAGGAGGTGGATCTGAAAAGGCCCTAGTCCATCCCAACAGCTCCCCTGTGGCTTGAAGCCTGCAGAGTACTCTGACATATGTACAGTCAGAAAGCCCGCCCAGCCTTGTTCACCATAATGGGCCATTTGGAACCACTCACACACCCACCATCGAGAGACAGAGGCACGAGCAGGGGTCTATGTCTGCTGGGCAGCATTTTATCACCGTTCTGATACACACACACAGATCCCACCGAGGTGATACACACACACAGATCAGCCCAAAGACATGCCAACACTCCAGCTACAATTACATGGGCCCACACACACACACACACAGAGATGCCCGAAGCACAAACCGCCCATCACAAGCGACGTGCCGCCCCAAGAAGAGGAAAGAGGGCGCTGCGGCATGGGTTGGCAGCCTTTCATTCTCTCTGCAACGTTTTTATTTCTTTAAAATATTTTCAGGACAAAGAACATTCACCAAAAGTGGAGGCATGGAGACAGGTGTGTATGTGAAAGATTTCATACACTTCACCTGGATTATCAATTTTAATTGTCCCTGTTAGCACCAGCTAAGTGCAATGTGCTCTATTCACACATCACAGTAACCCAGAAAGAAAGACAACACTGTGACCCTCTCCAGTCACGAAAACTATTCAGATGACCCAGAACCCAGTAACTCCACTCCCGCTGGTAATGTGGTGAGGTGCCGACATCATTCAACTTAGGATAACGTTTATAAATGTAAACACTCTGCCTATATGTAAGTCATTGGAATAGGAGGGGCCACCTACCTTTTTATCTCATCTTTGCAAGTGTCAATATGATACTTTAGTAGATGCAATTCTGGACCAGAGGCTAATAATATAAAAGTATCTACATAATAAAACTGTGCGGATTGTATCGGCTTAGAGAACATGTCTTTGCCCTGCAACAAAAAACAGTTATTGTTACCAATAAACATTAATAAGTCATTGTTGTCCTGAAGTACAATTCTTCTCAACACCCTGAATCTATTTGTTTTTAAAGTTTAAGTATGCTTGGGGTCCTGGTGTGGCGCTGTAGGATAAGCACTGGACTGCAAACTGCAAGGTCAGTTGTTCAAACCCACCAGTCGCTCCTCGGAAACCCAATGCATGGTTGCTACGAGTTGGAACAGACTCGACAGCACTTAACAACAAGAAAACAGGCATACTTAGAATATAACCCTTTCTGCCTACTGACCACTTCAGGAATCTAAGATTTTGCTCTGATCCATGATACTTTGAATTCCAGTCTTAGGAAGTCGAAAACTTTCCAGTAAACATATACAGTAACGAGGATTTTACGAATGCCCAAGTTTCTAGCCTAGTGATGCTTTCCAACCTCACACTCACATTCATTTCTCACAGCTAATCTCAAAATGGCAGAAGGAGTTGGTGCAATGACAGTACTGACCTTCCGTCTGGTGACCACCGCCACTTCTGACAAAGCCGCCTGAAGCTTCACTCTGTCTGTGTCCAGACTTCTCCGCTCACCAGCTCCTCATAGTGACAGCCCCACTGTGAGACTGTTCAGGGTAAGCACTGGCTTATTTGCACTTACTAATCTGGAGTGAACAATTTAATGCACCTCAAGGTCAGTTTGAATCACAAGATTGGAGGTTCTAACTCACCACCCACTCCTTGGAAACCCTATACATGGTTGCTATGGGTCGGAACCAACTCGACAGAACTTAACAACAAAATGATGAAACCGTCGTGAAACTGCACGTTCCAGATGAGTAAGGAAAGCCAAGTAAAGCTAGACTTGCAGACTGGATGTTACTCTGTTGCAGTTCAGAGGTTTGGGATTGAAAAGATGTTCTGATTCTGTAGAAAGAGCGTTGTGTCACTGGGAGGCAGACATGTGTCAACAATGCCCGCAAACAGAATCCTTCATGTAGTGAAAAAATGTAAAATCGTTCACTGCAGATTAATAAGTAAGCACAAGTGAGCCCATGCTTACCTCATTGTTGTTGTTGTTGTTAGGTGCCACCAAGTCAGAACCAACTCATAGCGACCTTATGCATAGCAGAACGAAACACTGCCCGATCCTGGGCCAACCTCACTACTGTTGCCACGCTTGAGTCCATTGATGCCGCCACTTGGCCAATTCATCTCATTGGGGGTCTTCCTCTTTTTCTCTGACCATCGACCTTACCAAACACGATATCCTTCTCCAGTGACTGGTCCCGCCTGACAGTATGTCCGAAGTATGAGAGACGAAGTTTGGCCATCTTGGCCTCCAAGGAACATGCTGGCTGCACTTCTTCCAAAATGAATCTATTGGTTCTTTTGGCAGCCCATGGCACTTTCAATATTCTCCTCCAACACCATTACTCAAATACATGAATTCTTCTACAGTCTTCCTTATTCACTATCTAGCTTTCACATGCATATGAGGTTATTGAAAATACCATAGGTTGGGTCAGACGCACCTTAGTCCTAAACTTACGTCTTTGCTCTTCAACACTTTAAAAAGGTTTTGATCAGCAGATTTGCCTAATGCAATACGTGCTTTGATTTCTTGACTGCTGTTTCCATGAGTGCTGATAGTTGATCCAAGAAGAATGAAGTCCTTGACAACTTCAATCTTTTCTCCATTGATAAGAATGTTGTTTATTGGTCC